CCAAACTCAGCCCCTGCTCATCCCAAACGTTCCCAGAAATTCTCTGGGAGAGGAAAATCCTGGGAATGAGGCGGAGCCGGCGGCGCAGTCCTTGGATATCTGGGAGTGTTCCTGGAGCAAATCCCAGCCCTGATCCCAATCTCAGACTTGATCCTAATCCTGATCCCAGCCCTGATCTCAATCCCAGCCCTGATCCCAATCCTAATCCTAATCCCAATCCCAATCCTAATCCAGCCCTGATCCCAATCCCAATCCTGATCCCAGCCCTGATCCCAATCCCAATCCTAATCCAGCCCTGATCCCAATCCCAATCCTGATCCCAGCCCTGATCCCAATCCCAATCCTAATCCCAGCCCTGATCCCAATCCCAGCCCTGATCCCAATCCTGATCCTAATCCCAGCCCTGATCCCAATCCCAATCCCAATCCCAGCCCTGATCCCAATCCCAATCCTAATCCCAATCCCAGCCCTGATCCCAATCCCAATCCCAATCCCAGCCCTGATCCTGATCCCAATCCTAATCCTAATCCCAGCCCTGATCCTGATCCCAATCCCAATCCTAATCCCAATCCCAGCCCTGATCCCAATCCCAATCCTAATCCCAGCCCTGATCCCAATCCCAGCCCTGATCCCAATCCCAATCCCAAATCCCAGCCCTGATCCCAATCCCAATCCCAGCCCTGATCCCAATCCCAATCCCAAATCCTCGATCCCAATCCCAGATTTCCCCTCGGGGGTTCTGGCTCTTCCCAGCCCCAAATTCCCCCATTCCCATCCCACAGGATCAGGAATTCCCAAACTGCTCCAGGGCTGGGAAAAAAGAATCCTAAAGGATTCCCAGGAATCCTTGGGAATGGGAAAAGGGAATCCATCCATCCCATGGAATATCCCAAAAAATCCCATCCCATGGAATATCCCAAAAAATCCCATCCCAGGAATTTCCCCCATTCCCATCCCATGGAATCCCAGGAATTTTTCCCATTCCCATCCCAGGAATCTCCTGCAATATTCCCAAGAAAACCCCAAATCCTGGGATTTTGAACCCCCCAGGATATTCCCAGTTTATTCACCAGGGTGAGAAAACCCATCCCCAAAAAAATAAAAAAAAATCCCCCAAATCTTTGAGTTTTCCAGGGAAAACCGTGAGGGCCGAGCTGGGATTTGGGATAAATCTCCCCAGGAATCCCAGTTTCCCAAATCCAAGGATTTCCCCAGGGAAATCCGGGATGTGGGATGAGAATTCCAGAGGTTCCTTCCCCGAAATTCTGGAAAATTCAGGATTTCCCTTTTTTTTTAGGGCTGGGGGCGTCCACTGGGATTTTTCCCGCTGGGAATTCTCCGATCCCACCCCCCTGCACCCCCTGGAATTCCCAGAATTCCCGGAATTCCCGGAATTCCGAGCTCACGCTGGCCAGGCTGCTGTCCAGGTCCGGCAGGGTCACGTCCGGCACCGCCATGGAGGGGCTGAAGAGCTGCCAGGAAAAAATGGGAATGGGATCTGGGAATG